CTGGTTTACACTTACACCCAGCCCTAAAAATGAAGACATATGGAACTAGCTTGAACGTCATAGCCACCTGAGTCGCAGGCTTGTATGGTCGTCCCCTGCTCTTTTTCCACGGGGCTCCGGCCAGCTCGCCACCTACCTCTCTCCCACGGTCGGCGCTCTCATAGCAAATCCCAATGTTCAGTGACGACTTGGACCAGGTGCACAGGTGGCAGCGCCCACAGGAGATCCCATGCACACAGCCGGCCGCCCTCTTCCTCATCGAGACAAAACTCCACAGGCGACCCGAAGAGCGACGATAGGGACAGGGACGTTTCAGGGAGGTTAGTAGATCGTTCCCTCTCATCTCCAACCCATATTTGTTGGACCCTGAAACACTGCAAAGAATACCCCCACACAACGGAGTGCGGGCTCCAAAACCATGGTTCTCTCACCCAAACACTCCATGGAACTGGCATATTTACATACATTGGGGTGGTTGAAGTCGGGGTCAATGTAATTATTTGTAGTACAGGCCGGTATTTTGGATGATATTTATCAAATTTTATCAATTATATAAGACAATAGAATTAATCCAAAATACCATAGCCCAATCCCACTATTCCAATCCCACTGAGTGTGGCCCCGAAAGGAAGGGCGGAGCCCTTCCTAAGCAAATCACCCAGAACTTTGAAGGGCATGATTTTTAGACCCCCAAGGCCCAAGGGAGTGGATTGGATCATGAACAAATGGGCACCCTGCTCTCGGCAGTCGTCCGGGCACAGGTCTCTCAGTGTTTCGAGTGGTGCCGCGTGACATGAAACGGCAGGGCCAGCGGCAGGTCTCTGGGTGCCCCAGAGACCCCACAGAGATGCAGGTGGACGGATGCCTGGAGGAAGTGCTTCGGACCTATGCCTGGGACATCCGGACTAAATGGCTAAAGGACGCAGGCATCCGGTGTAGAAGATATGGGACCCAAAAGTGCAGTGCTGGTTATTTGTGGTTTACAAGTCACTTGAACAATATTAGTCAGGGGGTGCCATCATCCCAAGTAAAGGAATATATAATGACACATACAAATCCAAAACCACCCAGTTTTGGTGGAGCTTTGTTTCTGTTTCACCCGGACATCCGGGCCGTTTCCACTCTAGACGCTCGCTACGTCTGGCTCATCCTGAAGGGTCGGGGTCGACCTCTCCTGTTCGACCTCTCGATTTGTTGGGCTCAGGGTGTAGGACCAGTTGCCAGTCACGGTCGGAGACTAAGATGATCACTGCGAAACGTGGAGAAAGGCCTTTGCTTAACCACTTAACATCACTTAACCATCATCATCATCATCATCATCATCATCATCCACTGTTACTGGCAGAGTAATTGGATATTATTGGATAGTTATATCCAAGACATGCTCCCTTATTTCTGTCTGGCGGAATCCCAAAAGCTTCACTCTCTGGAGAAATGGCGATGGTAGACCTAGCTGGTGGTCAGGCCGCAAATTGCGATAAACATCCGCCCTTGTGGGAGGGAGGGTGGGGTTTTGAAGAGAAAATCACTAAGAGTCAACCACCCCCAATCTCTGATACCCACATGAATATGCACGCAAACTAAGGTAGAATGGCCAAGTTAACCAACGGGTTTCAACCGACCAAAAGACCAACATGGCCCATTGATCCCCAAGAGTGATCAAGAGTGCCCCCAGTAGCGCGGCTAACACTTAAGGAAGTCAGTGCAAACCTTTCTGCAATGCACCAACAAACAGATCTAAGCCCGCCCCTGTCAAATTGATCCCATCAACCACAACTCAGTGCGGAATCTATGATCTAACGGCAAACTGCTCACTCCAGGCTTTTTTGCCACACCTTGCTTGGAGTAGCTGCAGCTCTGTGCGCAGCTCGTCTGCGGATACTTGGCACATCTGCTTGGAGAGGAGCCTCAGTACGTCCCAATAAAGGGCAGTGATGAATTAACCTGAGACGTGAGAGGTGCTCTAGTGCAACAAACTTGATGGGTGTCATTTGGAGCATGTTTTTGAGCTAACATCTATACAAACTAGGAATTCCAGTTGGCTTCTTCACGAGTGCCAACCCATTCCGAGTGACTCTTCGGAACTGCAGGAGTGATCCGATATTGGTTGGCATCCCGAGTGCTTCCTTCCACACAAATTCTTAAGACCTTTCGGTCGTTGGCAGGGGTGACACCAAGATACATTGAATGATCCTCTTGAATCAGTCGCGCTGGTTCTGGTCACTACTTACTGGCTAATGTTGTGATGGTTCAGTTGAAGCGTCTCGTGTTTTCATGATGCATGTTTCGTGGTTTTCCATGGTTTTCTGCATTTGGAAGAAGTCAGAGTAACCCTGTGAGTGCAGTGGAAGAAACATCAACCAACAAACAGGACATCGAAAACAAATCCAGGAAGCAAACCTGTTGAAATAATTGGTGGCTTTAGGTGGGAGAAACAAGAGATGCTTAAAAAAAAAAAAAAAATCCATGAAGCTGAACAACTGGAACCATGCACCATCATGCACCCATCAAGAGGTCACATACGAGTAGAATCATGCTATTTGTCTCATGACATCATGACTAAACCTCAACAGGTTTCCGACCGAAACACCCATGCGTTCTCCTGGTGCTGTTCGTTTCGAGATCCTCCAGTTCCCCCGTTCCCGGTCACCCGCTGGTCACCCGAGGCACTGCAGCTCGTAGGCTCCTGCAAGCCGAAGAACGCCCATCGCTGGCGCTTCCGGCGCCTTCGGCTCGCCAGCGAACCCGCGCCTTCCTCGGGGGCGCGGGGCCTGGCGGGGGCCAACGGATCGGAGGGGCGAGAAGCTCGGCAGATCTAACAAGAAATGGTGGCTCATCAGAGCAGAAACGTACTAAGTATACACACAAGCGCACTAATAGTCTTTGTGGGTTCCATTGGGTTCGTGCTCGAGAAATTCGATCATTCGATCCCTCGTCTACAGTGACTCGAAATGGTACATTGATCCATGGGTGCATGGTCACTTGACTCTTGCTCTACGCTGGCCGGAATAATGCTGACTCCTTGGACTTCCTCTCGTCTCCGGCCCACGGTCGCGGCGGACGCGCGACAAAGAGCTGAACCCATCCTGCGGGAGTTGCGCCCTTTGTGGCCCAGCTTCGCCCATGGCCCAGGTGCGCAGCTGAAAGGATGTGAATGGGTGGAGATTGGTTCACGTTTGTGGGTATGGGTTACCACACCCCAAGCAGGTGGGGATGGAGCCACGCAATTTCGGACGTCACATCAGAGGGAATGTACAGACTGTTGTTCATCTGCCTCCAAGGAGTACATCATTGTAAGAGTGTCCACTGATGAGGGCAGCTTGAGTGTGGTTCCGTTTTGCTCTCCAGTGCTTCCATGTACACGTCATTCTCGCGAGTGCAACGCTTCAACATGTGCTTTTCTCACTTGAGAATAAAGCTGAATGGAATGACACCAATTCATCGCTGCTGGTTGTTTGGGGTCGAGCAATTGGTCCACTCAGCTAGCCATCAGTATGGTCAAAACATGATGAGGTTCACATACAATATTATTTTGCTCCTGCATGTCGGGACACTAACTCCAGCATATCATGGTGGGGCTCATTGCAGGATGCACCACCATTCCTTCAACTTGTTAAGTTATAACGAAGCATATTTCTCGGACATTTCTTGCTTCGGTGCATCTTTGCAATCTCGGAGCTACAAAGCTTCTTCGAAAATCATGATCCAACACATGCAACCATCCAAGAACTAAACGGCGGAAGTTTGAGTTCCTCGCAAAGTCCTGCTCCATCGATCGAACAGAACACGGGCAAGTTTGCGGAAAGTCCTGAACTCGATCCTATCGATTGAACTGGATCTGCTTCGATTGATGGGTCTTCTTTGTGCGTCTCGCTTCCTCCCAGCGTGGCGGGAACCGAAGAACACCGAGGGGGGACAAGCCCACGACTAAGCACCGCTAGGTGGCTTTGGGGCCAGGTTGACAAAAATGACATATGTGCATGAACAGACTTTCTATGAAGGGATGTCAACCTACTACCATGGTCTGGTGGAGGTTCTGACTCACCTCGTGAAGAAACTCAGCTTCGCCCATGATCTGGCATGGAATCATGGATGCTCACGTGGCGTGAACAGCCTAGTGAACAGCCGTCGATCCTGAGCAAATGCGTCTGAGCTTTTTCGGAAGTTGAGCAAATCGTCCACAGGAAAGCAGAATGAATTACAGCTGCCGGTTCTCAAACAATCCTGCACTTCTGGGGCACAGCAAAGTTGAACCGAAATGACCCGAAGCGCATGTTGATGTACCGTGTATATAGGTATACCATGGTTTACCAGGGTTTTTGGAGTGGTCGCAGTTGGCCGCCGGTGGACATGTGACGAGACCCTAGACCTTTGCAGCTCCAAAAAGTGATTTTCTTGGTATGTATGTACAAAGACATGCAAACATTCCTGCTGCTGATTATGTTTATTATTGTTATTGTTATTATTGATATTATGAAGAAGAATAACTATAAGAAGAAGAAAAAACAAAAACTATGATGATGATGATGATGATGATGATGATGATGATGATGATGATGAT